GGGGGGGGGGGAGGGGGCATCTTCAAATAAGTTTCCTTTGATTGTTTGTAAACTGCTGATGCAGTCCGGCCAAAGTCCCCCGAAAAGTGTTGTGATGCGCATTTGATCATTTCCACATGTTAATTTGCGCAATATAAATATTCAATTATTATTATTATTATTATTAATTTGTGATTTTTTTCACAGGTTTATACTCTAATGAAATTTGACAGCTACCCTCGCTTTTTGAAGTCTGATGTGTACAGACAGAGTCTTGTGGCTGAAATAGAAGGAGGGCATCTCCCTTGTCAAGATGGAGAGGAGGAGAGAGGAATGAAAGGCAGAGGCAGCTTTTTTTGGAAGGTACATGTACATTGTACTAATGTGAAGAAAATGTGAAGAAAATGTTCATTCTGATGACAATGTGTTCATTGCCCGTTACTTTGACATATGCAATGGATGATATTGACAAATTGAGTTTTCTTGGGGTCAATTTCAGGTAACAGCATAAGTCAAACTAAACTGCAGGACTGTTAAAAACAGTGATAAGTTCATAGGGGGTCAAGCGGATAGCATGAAAATTCTGTGAGCTTAGATTGAGGACTTTGGAGAATGTCCCTGCCCCTTGACAATAAGTTCTCAATCAAAATAATTATGTGCAATTCATTTGCTATGTTTCAGAATTGAAACAAAAAAAAAAAAAAGAAAAAAGCACACAATCAGTTTAATTAAAAGGCTTAACCCTGGGAAATTTTAAACCAGCTTTTGAACCAACTAACCCACCGGATTTAGATTTACTTATCTAATCACTAAAGCATGCCTTTAAAGCTGTCTCACCGGCATAAGATGTTACATCAGACATATCAAACAGGTTTGTTTTGTTGTTTTAACCACTGAAATCTGTTTTAATTCCTTGAGATATAACATGTGAAACGTTGTTTTAACTCTCTTAACTTTGAGTTAAGCTGCATGGGCAGATGTTTTTGAACTGATTGGGCTAAAGTACTTAATTACTTTCTTTAACGTTTAAGTATTCGTGCAACAAAATAAAAGACTAATCTCTTTTCAATAAATACTGAAATGCAAGGTCTGTTATATTTTATTGCGATTGTTACTAAGCTGATTAATGCGATGTTCACAAAAACGAACAGTGTGTAGTTAACCCTGTAATCCTAGGAGTGACTTGCATCTGATTTTTCCTTACAATACACCCCTGAATCCCACATTAAGGTCACGAAAATAAAGGAAATGATCATCAACTAAAGAGGCTCTTGATTGTTAAAAAAAGTTCTCCTTGTTAGCTCCTAAGGAAATGTGTAGAGAACAGTATGGAGAATATGCATACTGATGTTAGGGTGTAAAGCTAAGGACAAAAATCTAAACTTTAAAACCACTAATGACACTGAAATTGTAGGTATCTCTTCTAAATTTGTCTTCTGAAGAATCGGAATTTTCCAGCAGCAGCAGCAGAAGCAGTTTTAGTCTTGAAGGACAGGTAACCTAACTAAGGTCACAGCTGCAAATAATACAACTTTTAAAAGCTATCAGAAATTCATGTGAAGTTGTCTAATTTCGTTGGCATAATTTGGATCTATCAACAAAGTTGAAGTGGTAAATTGGCCACTATAACGATTGCAAAAGCTGACGTTTCGAGCGTTAGCCCTTCGTCGGAGCGAATAGAGGAATTGTGGGTTGTATGTGCTTTTAAAGGCAGAGAATGGAGCTACGTTATTGGTGGGAACATGGCAACGAGAAAAACATGAATAAATTAGTGGAATGAAAAGCGTACGTTGATCCCTGTCGGATTTAGACCGCCTGTTTGAAAGATGAGCTTTTGTTCAAGATTTTTACGGCTTTCCGTGCTACCTAAGTGTAATGAAAGACCGCATATTGCCATATGTTACTTAGAATGATTAGGTAAATTAAAATGTCTAGCGACTGGTTTCCA